TGATTGAAAGAAAAGTCCTACATTACCAGCACTCTGAATGATAAAAAAGACTTTACCACAGATTTTAATGTATTAAAATGATTACAAGAGAATATTAGGGCTTCCCTGGTGGCGCAGTGCTTGAGAGTCCGCCTGCCGATGCAGGAGACACGGGTTCGTGCCCCGTTTCGGGAAGATCCCACATGCCGCGGAGCGGCTGGGCCCGTGAGCCATGGCCACTGAGCCTGCGCGTCCGGAGCCTGTGCTCCACAAATGGGAGAGGCCACAACAGTGAGAGGCCCGCATAACGCAAGAAAAAAAAAAAAAAAAAAGAGAATATTAAAAAAACTTCATGTAAAAGAAAATTATTGAAATTTTATTTGAAATGGAAAATTCTTGTAAAAATAAACTGAATCAAAAAGACAGAAAATTTGAATGCTACCATAATTAACAAAATTGAATCTTCAATACCAGATATACCAACAGAAAACACCAGGCCCATATAGCTTCAGCAGTGAATTCTGCTAATAATTTATACTGTTTTAGAGTAAAGGGGAAGATGGGAAGAGAACACTTCATAACTGATTTTTGAGGCTAGTATACTGTTGACTCCCAAGCTCAAAAGAACATTATAAGAAAAGAATATTACAGGAAAATCCTGCTCATAAGTATAGCAGTTAAAACCCTAAACAAAACATTAGCAGTTCATCATTATCTTAAAAACCCATAATATAATTGTGTTTAGGCCAAGAATGTAGGATATTAACATCCCAAAATAAGTTGTTATAATTCACCACATTAAGAGAATGAAGAAGAAATATAACCATTTCAATAGATGTTTAAACATTTGTTGATAAATTAGACACTCAATTATGAACTACTTTTGATAAACTGGGAATAACTTATTAGCTTGATAAAGGATATCTACAGACATCCTATAGTATGCATCAGATTTAAAAGTGAAACATGAGAATTTTTCTTTGAAATAAAAAACATGACAAAGATTCACTCTTAGTGCTTCATTTTAACATTACACTGGTGGTCCTAGACAGTGCAATAGGGTAAGAAAAAGAAATTTAAAAATATAAAGATTGGAGTGGAATAACGAAATCTCTCGTTGTTCACAGAAGATATGATTGTATAAAGTCTATACAAAATTATTTGTTTATACATCATTGGAATTAATAAATTAGTTTAACAAAATGGATGGTTAATTTAAAAATCAATTAAAACATCAATTAAAAATCAATTATTTTGATTTAAAAATGAATTATCTCTGTTGTTTTCCCAATTCTTTTAGTCTAAAAACATGCCCTGATTATGGCAGACAGCCAAGTGGAAGAACATATTCCATGTAGGTCTGTTAGCTATGGCGAGCCAAATAAAGCCTATCTCCCCATGTTTTCTTTCAATTAATCATTCCTCCATTCATTCAACATTTTTTTAAATGCCTATTATATACCAGGCTCTATCTTTGCCTTTAAATTGCTCATAACAAAATAGAGAATGACACACATGGCTGACTACAGTATAATGTGTAGAGTAATAAACAAGAGAATTTGTGTGGAAAGGAGACAATGAGTGGAAGCAGTTTGCTCTATCAGAGGATTTTAGAAAAGATTTCAGAGCGGGAAGTGTTTGTGTTAGTCCTTGAATGATTTAGTAAGGTTTCACCAATTCAAAGAAGGATAGGGAAAATACAATTCAAAGGGAACAGAATAAATAAAGGTATAAGAGTATGCCATGTATACTTGGCATATTTGGGAAACATAATATAAAAGCTAAGAGTATTAGTAGATCCTTTGCTTGGTTGATGTGTGCATCTGTCCTCTTGTATCTGTTATATTTTGCAAAATCTGTTTAGCTTTTTTTTTTTTCTGTTCTTTTCTCAATCATGAAAATAATAGAGATGATTTTCATGTCCCATAAGTACAAAGTGAGTTTTAAAACTTCTACTCGAGCTTCTCCAAGGATACCCTTGCCTTTTTCCATAAGTGCATCTTAGCCAACTAAAGTGATTTTTGATGATTTAAATGATCTGATTCTAAAGAATCTGAAAATTATTTATTCACAACATGATAATGGCCCCAACTTTTATGGTGTTTTAAAATAGCTGTAGTACTTAGAAATTACATGGTATATGCACTTTAACAAACATCTGAATTGTATCAATAGGGTATTGCAACTTTCTGTAAAAGATGTAGAAAAATAAATATCCCTATACTGAGTCTGAAAATTTATACAAAGAATTGGAGTAAGTAATGATTGCATTTAAGCTTTAGATATAGGAAACCTAGATGAGAGCTTCAAATGTCAAGAAGTTGTGTTAAAATCATCTAGTGTATCTTATAACTCTATTATTACTTGATGGAATTGTGCAACAAAGACGGTGTGTTGGGCGTGTGATATTTCCTACATCTGCATCTGTTTGATCTTAGTATAACTTTTGCATGCAGACGTTCTCTGGTTTGCATAAATTATTTCCTTATTTATCTTTTAATAACTCTTACTAACATTGATTAGCCTTATTGCCAGTGTTTTTGCTACATCTTATCGGCCAAACTAGATATATAACACAGCTTTACTGTATATTCTTATTTTTTGCTCCAAAGTTATAAAATATGACTATTTGTTTAATATTACTTTATTACAGTTAGTTATTAGATTTTATTAATAATGACCAATACTCATAAATATTTATTAAATAGATGCTTCAGTCAGATGTTTTTAGTGCTTATAACTGTGAATGATTAAATCAACAAACTCGTTTAGAAGACAACTCAATTCTGTGGTCCCTCTATACAAGGTTTTAATATTATGAAAACAGACTAAATGCTGCTTGCCTTCTTGCCAACTGAGAGTATTACCCATTACCTTCTCAGCAGAGCTACTAGAGAAAAAATAAAGAACCTACATTGAGAACTTTCTGAATTCAGCTCTGTCTGTGTGTATACACTCAAAATGAAACAAATTGGGGCAATTTACTGAAGGTTAAATCCTTTAAATGACATTCACCTAAAATATGCAGGGAAATTATTTGGGAGGCTTAAATTATCAATGTAATTGCCTTAATTCTCTAGGTTGCTTTCATAAGTACACACAACTTTATCGTATCTAACTGACAATTCCAAATTGGAGGTTTAGGGTTGTTTATATTTTTACTCTCAACACCCTGCATCAAGTTTACTTTCTACATAACCCAGGTCCTAAAAATAGCCCACAGACCTAATGTGAGAGCGTTCCAGAAGTGAGGTTTTTACATTAATGATGTGCCTGTAGCTTTCTTTCCAGTAGCTAGCACCTTTCCGTTTGTCAGCATTTTACCCTGAAGTCTCAGGAAAGCTTGTTTAAGAACTAAATATGCTCATACTATGTTGTGCTTTTATTCTTAAGTATTCGAACATAGAGTGATATTTCAGAACATTTTGTTAATAAAGTCTACCTGATTTCTATTAAAATTTTTCTCTAAGCCCTGAGAGAGAAGTGAAAGGAAAGATTATTTATGAGCAAGGTAGCTCAGCCCTGTCTAATTCTTGAGTAAGAGTTTTCCAAGTAACCTTCCATTTATGATTCAGCAATTCCTCTGAGTTAAGAGGGTGTTACTAGGATAACATATTTTTGAAGATACTATCTGAAATACCAGATTTTTTAAAAATGATTTTTAACAAATTTTAAGAGTTTAAGATTGCAGAACCTTTCACTCACACTGTGGGTTTTTTTTTTCCTCTCGCCAAACTACTGCAAGTAAACCTTTTGATGTTTTAAATGTTTTTCTTTGGCAGCTAAGAAAAACACTCTGGAGAGTTATATTTAGTGAATTTACCCATGTATAAATATCCCTGAGCTAGTCTGCTATCCTATGGCATCTGGAAGAAAGGTGCTATTGTTTTAGATTCCATGATTAAAGTATAGAATAATCAATTCAGAGAGACCCTGGGGGGAAGATTCACTCACACATGCTGTGGAAACTTGGAATCCTTGAGATTTTTAGTTTTTTTCTACAGATGAAGAGACATAGATGGGTTCATGTTTTAGCACAGTGTCTAGTGACATCGTTTCCTGTTCTTGCCATATAATAGTTTGGCCTATTTGAGACTACTAACTTTAAATTTTCTAAGAAAACTTTGTTGTTGTTGTTAATCCCTTTTTACTATTACTTTCCTTGCTTTCTCAGTCACAATAGCTGGACAGCTATTTTGTTTGCAAGTGCTCTGCTATGCAGTTTGTCCTGCTCCACACGAAGCCACATCACCAAGGTATTCCCAGGGATGCATCATCAGATTTAGTTCTGCCAGAACACTCCATAAATTATTTAAAGCTCTTCTTCATTTCTTGCAAAACAATGTTTGCTGAGCTTCCCCATGAAAAATCAGTGTAATTCCAAAAGATCAGGATAGATTTGCAAGACAGGAATTTGTCCTGTGCTTCCACATGGCTATCTGCATAGATGTGAATACAGTGGAAGTTAAATGAAAATGTACAGTTATTTTACTTTTGGTTTTATTTGAGCATTTTCTCTACTACTTATTCAATAGCAGTTGAATAAGAGCAGCTATGTCTCGTGGCGTTCTGCTGTGAAGTGTCCAAAAGTGTAAGGTAGTTAGGTGTAAAAACACCACAAAAGTATGGATAATAGACTGCCCACCTTCTGTCTACTTCAACTTCCCTGAGGTTTCGTTTGCAGGGCCCAGCTGCATATACAGACATGATGGAATTTGGTTTGTCAGGAACCTACAAAAATTACACAAATAACTCGGATTTTTAATGAATAATACACAGACATGCACCTGCTTCAGGGACTTCACAGATTAGTTTTGTGACCAGTAGAAAATCCCCTTGGAATTCAATTACATTGCTGCAAAACAGAAAATAAAACTGGCTACACTTTTGGAACTGGTATCAGCAAAATGTTAAGTAGTTCTTGGAGCAGGCTTTTTTTTTAGGTTGTTTCAATTTGGTTTGCTTCTGTGAAACTTACTATAAAGTCATAATGTTCATATCATTATTTACCATTCTTGCAGCTGGAGCCACTTGCAGAAGATATTCTCCAACAAACTCCGAATATGAATGCTGTTATTTCTTTACAGAAGATCATTGAAATTCAAAGTATGTCTTTAAATTTTTTTTTAATATTTCTAATAAGGTACTAATTAAGCTTATATTGAGAATTAGAGCACATGAAAAATATATTTGAGCTTCTCAAATATAAGGAATATATTTAAAGTAATTATAATTTCCACATATTAACGTATTCATACCTAAATGTGTTGTTGCCTTGCTGTTAATGTGGCAATCTTATCTCACACTGATAACGAAATTCAGAGACTCTAGATTTAGAACCTTGTTTTTCTCATATTTTCCAAATGTGTTTGGATTTTTTTCCATTACTGCCACTAAGTATCTACTCAGAGCTATGAAATTAACATAGAAATTGGGATTATATTGTCCAGTCTTAACTGAGGTAAGTTATCTCCTAGTGATGTTGGAATTCACCAGTCATTTACTGGTTTTAAGTTTGTCAATAGAGGGAAAAGTTCACGAGAAAGCCTACTAGAAAATCCAACTGAACAAAAAGGAAAAGTCAGAGACTTTTTTACTATCCCAGCTCCTTTCACATCACTGTTACTTTCTCAGGAATTATTCTTTTTTAGGTGATAACATGCATGAGTGTGTGTGCGCGCGCACACACACACACACACACACACACACACACACACACACACACACACATACTGAAAGCAAGCACAAATTGACATGAAAGTCAGCATGAATGGGAAAACCAAATGGCAAAATTAAGTGTGAAGGAGCACACATACTAAAGCAAGCACAAATTGACATGAAAGTCAGCATGAATGGGAAAACCAAATGGCAAAATTAAGTGTGAAGGAGGATCAGAAAACCCTTAGCTTTGCTACTCTTTTGTAGAAGCATTTTTTAACACCACTGGAGAAGCCACCTTCCATCTATCTCTGAGTCCTTGTCTTTGCTTGCTCAGTAGTAATTTGGAGATATGGTTGTGACTGGGGTTCTATGTTACCCGTTCATCTGGTGCTTATGCAATCTAATCTAATACTTCATTAAGGTGACCAGCAGCATAAAAAATATCTACTTTTTACACATACAATTCTTTTTTTTTTCTGAGTATTGTTTTTCCATTATACACACAGACTATGAAAAATTATTATTCCTATGTATATTATGATCACATCACTTTCAATAAGCATTCTTAAATACTCATTACATGTTGATACATGATAACTTGAGCACTTATCAAGGCAAGGCACAGAAGAGAAATAAGGCAGTTTCTAGCATTAGGGAGTTTACAGTCCAGTGAGTGAGAGGCACTAAAATAGATCATTTCAATAGAGGTCACAACATGCACTGAGATCATGGACAAGAAACAGTCATTTTCTTAAGTCCCTCGCAGCCAGAAGGAGAAGTACTGCAAAGTGAGGAAGGTTCACCGAAGGTTTGAGGAAGGCTCCTTGGCGGTGATAGGGCCTGACCTTGGTCTTAAGGTCTTGTTACTGACCAGGGTTCTTGGCCTCCTTAATCAATAGAAATTGATCAGAGGCCAGACAAGAAATTCAGGCTAGGCTTTATTGGGGCCCCTGCTGCAGCAGCCCAGAGCAAAAACAAACAACAGATTCCTTTGTTTTCTTGCTCGCCGAGGAGGGGGGGTAAGCTTGCTCTTTATATGAGGTTGAGGATAGGAGTGTGTCCAGGGGTCGGGCCAGAGGGATGGCTTAGGTGTTTTGCCCACCCCTTAGGTGGTGTTGTGTGCAGGGAGCATGCGCAGTACCCTGCTTTTGCTGCTGACCCCCTGCTTTTGCTCCAGGCTCTTCAAAAGTGGCTCTTTGGTTTTTTGGTTCCTTTGTATCTTTCGTCCAGAATTGCCCCAACTGGGCATGCACGCAGTTATTTTTAGTCCCATATAGTTTCTTTGTATTTTGTTGCTTGAAGAGAGATGTGTCCAGGTGCATTACAGCAGTGCAGCAAAGGGTCCCAGGTCCCAGTTTGTCCCAGTCTGAACAGGATTTTGGCCAGATGAAGAAAGAGTGAATGTTCTGAAGGAAATAACAGAAGCAAAAGACTCAATTTTCACATAGGTGTAAAAATTCATGGTTTATATATGTCTTTAGAAACCATGCTGTTGTCTGTTGCATTGGATCTAACTTGCCAGTAATGACTTTCCACTGCATGATGGTTTTCCTTTCACCACTGACATTTTTGAGTGACTTGTACAGTCTACTTTAGCCAAACAAACCTGTTTGACTCTTGAAAAGGATTCACTGAACTATCAAAATTGGCTGTATAAGAATTCTGCCCCTGTGGATTGTGAATCTCTGTCTTTGTTCCAAAATGCATTTCAAACACCCAACACTGACCATTTCCCCCATTTAAAAATCTATTTCTGGGGCTTCCCTTGTGGTGCAATGGTTGAGAATCCACCTGCCAAGGCAGGGGACATGGGTTCGAGCCCTGGTCTGGGAAGATCCCACATGCCACGGAGCAACTAAGCCCGTGTGCCGCAACTACTGAGCCTGCACTGTAGAGCCTGCACACCACAACCATTGAAGCCTGTGAGCCACAACTGCTGAAGCCCTCGCACCTAGAGCCTGTGCTCGCAACAAGAGAAGCCACCGCCATGAGAAGCCCGCACACCACAACAAAGAGTAGCCCCCGCTCACCGCAACTAAAGAAAGCCTGCATGCAGCAGCGAAGACCCAATGCAGCCAAAGATAAAATAAATTAATTTAAAAAAATCTATTTCCTCCTAAACTCATATTGAAGATTCCACCCAGAATTTGTTAATCCAGTACTTCTGTAAAGTCTCTGCAGTAACGTGTAGATTTGAAGTGGTATTTTTATTTAAAATTTTTCTAGTATTTGAGTTTTTGTATGTTTTATGGTCTTTCGGTCATGGTTCCTTAATTATATGATAATCATCAAGAGGATGGAACCGTGTCTTCTCCCCCCCGTCTTGTACCGGCAGGCAGGGTTGGTACCAGGGACGAGGTTTGAAGTGCATGGAAACCTGGGAATTGAGAGTTGGAAGATTTGAGCAGGATTGATTCGAATAACTCTTCAAGGCCCTAGGGAACTAAAACTTGCATCAAAGAGAGCTTCTGAAGAAGAATGCCTCCTTCTGAGCCATGGATACAGTATATGGTATAGTGGGTACTGTTGTTGGCTACTCAGTAACTATGTGTTCCTCATGTCTACTCAGAAGAAGCCTGGTTTCACACATGATCCTTGCCACCAGATACAGTACAGATCAGGGGAAGATGAACTTATGCCCAGCTCCAAAGGAGCTGTTCTTAGTCCAAGGCTAAACTTGTCAACCCACTTACCAGTGATTAGTTAAGGAGTGGGTACTTGACCCAATTCTGGCCGGGGAGAAGCAGGGCTGGCTTCATGGGCTTTTAACCAGTGTAGTCACACAGGCCCCACACTTAGAAGGGCCTGAAGCATGGTTTAATGCTGTTACTCTTGCTGCCTTAAAATTCTCACTAATTTGTATTTTTTTTTTTTTTTCCTTGCGTTATGCGGGCCTCTCACTGTTGTGGCCTCTCCCATTTGCGGAGCACAGGCTCCGGACGCACAGGCTCAGCGGCCATGGCTCACGGGCCCAGCCGCTCCACGGCATGTGGGATCTTCCCGAAACGGGGCACGAACCCGCGTCTCCTGCATCGGCAGGCGGACTCTCAAGCACTGCGCCACCAGGGAAGCCCACTAATTTGTATTTTGTGACAGGGAGCCCACATTTCATTTTGCACTGAGCCTTGCTAATTATGTAGCCAGTCCTGATGAAAATCAAGGTGCTGGTGATGCAAAAAAATATTTACCAAAAAAGACTGAGAGTAGCATCACCACAAGGAGAACTCAAGTTGTGGTTGAGAAGGAACTGAATGGTGGGTTGAGGTTGTAAAAGGGAAGATAAACACAAGATAACAGTGACCTCTCACCAGTTGGGACATAGGGTGAAAATTTGTACAGAGAAAGTGCTTCAGTACTGTGGCTTTGACCACTGTGTGGTACATTTTTATGTGTTTCTCTGAATTGCGTGTCTTCGGGGCTACTCTTTTTTTAAAAAAAAAACATCTTTATTGGAGTATAACTGCTCTACAATGATGTGTTAGTTTCTGCTTTATAACAGAGTTAATCAGCCATACATATACATATATCCCCATATCTCCTCCCTCCCACCCTCCTTATCCCACCCCTCTAAGTGGTCACAAAACATGGAGCTGATCTCCCTGTTTGCTAAGTGGCTGCTTCCCACTAGCTATCGATTTTCCATTTGGTAGTGTCTATATGTCAGTGCCACTCTCTTACTTCATCCCAGTTTCCCCTTCCCCTTCCCCGGGTACTCAAGTCCATTCTCTACGTCTGCGTCTTTATTCCTGTCCTGCCCCTAGCGTCTTAAGAACTATTTTTTTTTGTTTTGTATATACTCCATATATATGTGTTAGCATAAGGTATTTGTTTTTCTCTTTCTGACTTACTTCACGCTGTATGACAGACTCTAGGTCCATCCACCTCACTACAAATAACTCAATTTCATTTCATTTTATGGCTGAGTAATATTCATTGTATATATGTGCCACATCTTCTTTATCCATGCATCCGTCAGTGGGTATTTAGGTTGCTTCCATGTCCTGGCTATTGTAAACAGAGCTGCAATGAACATGGTGGTACATGTCTGTTTTTGAATTATGGTTTTCTCAGGGTATATGCCCAGTAGTAGGATTGCTGGGTCATATGGTGATTCTGTTTTTAGTTGGGGCTACTCTTCCAGGTTAAAGAAACAGAAAGGGATTGTATAAAGTCTACAAAGCAATAAAATAAAGTGGTATTTCAGAGTAACAAACTTCATAATGGCTTGGAAAATCAAAATTGTGGGTACCTGACTTAACAAACAATGCTATATTTCCTTAAAAACTATAAAATTGAACTCTCAGTTTTATTTTTCTCTGTTTTATAACACACTTCCATTTCACATGCTCGTGTAGAGCTCCAGGCCCTTGATTAGGCTCCCCATTTTGCCTTTGGCAGGGAAGGTAGTCAGGACTCACTAAAACTTTGTGGATCCCAGTGCAAAA